TTACCATTCAATCTACTTCACCACCATGCCAAAAGTGAATATTGAATCAGTTGAAGCATATTGAAGCAAACATGGCGTAAGATAATACTTTTGACAATCACAATAAAACATTTTTTTCTTTTCATCTTTCGTAAGAGTAGCAATTCTAAACATTTCTGTGCCATAATTTATAGAAACAAATACAATGTGGTTCTACCTTTGGAGTAGATTCAAAAACAAATTAATATCATACAATAGTGCATACTGATACTCTCCAGCCTGGGATGTGAAAAAATAATCACCCTTATATTTCAGTAAAAATAATAAAACCAATTGCCATCGATAAGTACCCCGACCTATCCTTAAAAAGCAAATTTGGCAATAAACAGACTAGAAACTCCTACACTGATCAACCTAAAGTTCATGATAAAAAATCTTGGAAGACTATATTTAGAAGATAGCTTCGAGTGACAAGATTGTCCAAGTTCCGTTACCTTACTTGAAATGATCTTGCCGAATAATTCCCACAAATTCAGGTTGTAATTCATCGTTGTCTTTTTGTTTCCATATTTCGCCATTTGCATAGACCCGCCATGATATTTGAGGTGGTGCTGAATAATCTGCAAGATACCAGAAGATTTTTGGTAGTCAACTCCATGCTCAAGTGATTTGATTTGCAGAGCATTATAGCAGTACAAAAACAACAATGAGAGAGGATGGCGTATAGGATATTGAACTCCTAAATTCATGCCACCATATCAATAGACAAAAATGAAAAGACGGAAAATCAGAAAAAAATTGGAGGATCAGTTTTTTCAAATGAAATAAGAGCATGTTTGACTAAGCCTAAAAAATAGTGCTTAAGAAAGTAACTTAGTAACTTTTATGCTTAGCCAAACACATCTAACTTTAAAAGAAGTAAAATCAAGCTGACAATTTGAGACAGAAGAGCTCAGTACTCCCTCCATAAAAATTACATCATTCGGTATAAGCTAGTTGCAAAATCATTGAAAAGTAGAAGATCCAAGAACGAACGAAATAGATGTTACATTGTATATTCGTACACAAATGAACATGTGGACATACCTGCACCCGCTGTCTTTTCTGGATCTCTTGTACTGTGCAAAACCATGGTACCCGAAAGTACAGTAATAAATCCACAGAAAACCGAAACAATGTTGCTAGCACTCTGACCAACCCAATCCTATAGTTTCATACAGATTAGAGTTTAACAAAAATAGCAACACTTTCAACATTGTTGCAAGACAATAACATTCTTAGATACCTTGAACATTATGGCACTGGCAAAAATTGTAAGCGACGTGAACATGGCATAATAGATTGGCGAAACTACAGCGGTGTTAAATGTGTCCAAAGCCTGGAAATAAAAGAAATGATAATTTAATTGACTTCAAATTCAATTCAGAATTTTGAAACCACCAAAAGAACACAAACAACACAAGTATGATTTACTGCACCAAGAA